TTTTAATTCATGTTGTGAAAAATACATGGAAACATATTTTCTGTCTGTGGAAGACTCCGAAAGAGCATTTGTGTGTAGCAAAGCAGCTTCTAGAACCTTCTCCCCATTGTGTTTTGGCAGGAGACGAGGGACATGTTGGGCTGTGCACTCCCAGTGGAAAGGTGAAAGTGTGCCATAGCTCTGGAAAAAAGTAAATCCAGGAAATGTTCATATGACTGTCAAAGGAATTATGTACATTTCCTGGGGAATTCTTTGCCCTTTCACAGAGCAGGCTGTACAGCCTGGTGGAGTCAGGGAGAGGTGGTCCATCCATGGAGGGTGGCCAGAGTTAGGGAGGCCCCTTTGTACATGCAGGCACAGAGGGGATTCGCTGATTGTCCTGGCTCCGCACGGCATGGGGCCATGTCGGTGCAGCTGTGGGGATGGACGTGGAGGGCAGGGGAACACATGTTTGCAGGGAGGGGGCAGTGGGTCAGGTCACCTGTAGCACTCAAACCCAGAAGAGAAGCTGAGCTCTGAGGATGGCAAGTGGCCCCAAGGACAAGGGAAGGGACAGAGCTGCTTCCCCTGAGCCAGCTGTTAGGGGCTTGTGTTCTTGGTCCCCTGGCCAGGGTTGTCTTTCATGTGTGCCATGTGTGCTGGGCCCTGCAGGCTGGGCTTGAGGGGGCCACTGGGTGGCCTGGGAGGCTACTGGTGTGGCATTTGGTCCCTCCCCAGCGTGTGGCCCCACCCCACCCCTGACTCTCTTCTTACTTACATCCTTCTCTGTGTGTTGCTTCTCCCTAACCTCTTTCTCTCTCCTGTGTTTATTCACGCATTCTCCCTAACAAGTGCTTTTGAGGTCTTCTGTGTACCCAGGGATATCACTGGTATGTTTACCAAAGGCCCTGCGGATGCCCAGGATGGGCCCTTTGTGAAATGACACTGAAGGGATGTGGGGAGGAGTCCTTGCTTTCTCAGTTTACCAAGACAGCAGTTACTGGTTTGAGACTTTGAAGCCAGGATGGCTTGATTTTTATGGATAAAGATCATTATCTCATTGGTGTATTTTTGGGGGTGATATTTTGCTATCCTTGAAGCTTGGACATCTGGATGACAGTTTTGATCTGGTTTTACTGGGACAAAAGCCATTTTAGTACCTCAAGTCATCTTAACTGTCCATTGAGCTGGGACTCATGTAAAATCATTTTGTATCTGGAAATAGAAATCCAAGTGTCCCAGCCAGGTGCGGTGGCTCATGCCTGTAATCCCAGCACTCTGGGAGGCTGAGGCGGGTGGATCACTTGAGATTAAGAGTTTGAGACCAGCCTGGCCAATACAGTGAAACCCTGTCTGTAATAAAAATACAGAAAAATTGGTTGGGTGTGGTGGTGCGTGCTTGTAGTCTCAGCTACTTGGGATGCTGAGGCAGGAGAATTGCTTGAACTTCGGTGGTGGAGGTTGCAGTGAGCCGAGATCGTGCCACTGCACTCCAGCCTGGGTAACAGCGAGGCTCCATCTCAATTAAAAAAAAAAAAAAAAGAAAGAGATCCAAGCGTTCTGTGATTATCTTCTGAAAATCATGGTGCTTAAAAAAATCATGGCAAGCATCTTCCACCTTGAAGAATAACAGTGATAGTGACAGTCACTGGCTCAACATGATGTAGTTGAAGATGGAGTTCGCCTTCATTGGCTTGTTGGAGTCTCACCAATAATAAACCGGTATTTGGGAACTCTTACCCTGCAACAGAGGGGAACGCCAGGCTGAGAGGTTAAGCAGGCACGGAGAGGCGTGGAACTCAGGGCTTCATCCTCTTCTCGTCCAGGACAGCACCCTTTACTAGGCATCTCCCGTGTCCAGCTCCGAATAAGACACAGGTCCTCCTTGTCCCCTGTTCTCCCTTCTAGAACAGCAGGTGTTAGTCCGGCAGCTCAGATACCTCCAGTTTCTGCAAGATTTGGGGGTTTATGGAGTTTAGGTGACAGAAAGGATTCTCAGTGAAAACACTTTCCTTTAGAAACAGAAATCATACATCATAATTCCTCCTTTGCCAGGAGATAGATTTTTCTGCATCACAATTGCAAATGCCTTGCTTATCTTTCATTTTTCCCTAATGCAATCTTAGAGCATTCCACTGTGTGACATAGGGACATGGTTGCACCTTATCTGAGGGTCAGGATGGAGCAGATTGGTGCGTGGGTCCCAGCTGCCTCCCCTGTAAGGGAGGGAAGCTTTGCTGCTGCTGCTCAGCGGCTGCCCTGGTGACCAATTCTGGCTAAGAGGAAAGTACATTCCATAACATTCTTGGTGACTTGCTGGTCATGTGATGTTGTCATAATAGACATTGATCGTTTTATGACCCAGACTAATGCAATGTAAATTCATTCTAGCATGGTGGGTGCTGTTTCAGCAATGAGTTGTTGGAGACCTGGGACTCAGAGGACGTCTGGTCCTTGTCTTAGACAGCTGTAAAAGGGGTTGGGCCAGTAGCCTTTGGGGCCTCTTCAGTTTTCATGTTGAATGAATCTGTGACTCCAGGGTGTTGGGAGTGGGAGATGGGCTGAGATTTGGGCCAGACTGAATCCCTGCCGGCTTCTCCTCCTCCTCCTATTTCTCTTCCTTTCTTTTTTCTATTTGGTCTCCACAGTTTAAAGTATTCCTATCAGTCACTCAATTGAGCTGCATTTTGACTTAACCAGCCTTGAGGGACCTGCTCTGAGAGCCTTCCAGCTAAGTTCCCGGCATCTTTTAAACTTCACGTTGTCCTTCACTTCTCAGCTCAAATGCCTATTCTTTGCAGGAGTCTCTCTGATCACCTTATACATCAGGGATTAAAAAACTTTATAAAGGCAAGACTGCAAATATTGTGGGCCTTGCAGGCCATAGGGTCTCTGTTGCAACGACTGAACTCTGCCCTCGTGACACACAAAAGCAGCCGCCAGACAAGGAATGGGTATGGCTGTGTTCCAATAAAGGTTTGTTTACAAAAACAAGCTGTGGCTGGCCCGGCCCACGGGCCATCATCCGCCACGTCCTGGCAAGGGACCAGCCCCCCCCCACCACTGTGTATGTGCTGGCACCTTGCTTTGTCCTTCCTAACACTTAAGCACACTGTGTTTTTTGTAGATTTTGTATTTATTGTCTGTCATCCTTGCCATAATGGATGCTCCAAACAAGTGCAGAGTCTTCGTTTTGTCTCTTTCTGCTTCTGGAGCTTCCAGAATAGTCTGGTGTGTAGCAGGTGTGCAGTAAGCAATTGGCGAATGAGAAAACGAACACTGGAAACATAACCGGCCTATCAGCTGGGCCTTCCTGGCTTGCTTTTGGGGCGTGTTTGTCCACGTTCCATTGAGCTTCTGTTTTCCTCCTTTTGCTGTGATTCTCTCTGTGTGTTCACGTGCTAGTTGGCATCTGGGCCTTGGCCTACATGCCTTTGGTGCTGCCTCTTTGGGAAGCCCTGGGCTGCCCGTGTAGCTGTTGATGGTGGTGGTGAGGGGGGATTTCTCATCCCAGATGCACATGGCCCTCGCTGCTTTCACAGTGGGACTGAAACAGAGATTGACTTGATTTCAATCTCCTGCGGGAGATTTGTCCTTCTGAGGGGTGTCTAGACAAAACAGTTGCCTTTGATCCTGCCCAGATTTGGTGCTGTCCCAGTGCTGGGAAGCTTTGATTTTCCAGTTCTGGGACTCTGGGTCCCATTCACACTTCTCACTGGCGGGACGAAAGCCCGCTTCATGGGCCCTCGTGGGTGGCCACCACAGCCAGCAGCTCCGGCTGTTGTTAATAAACGCCAAAGGCTTCCTCTCAGCTCCAGTGGAGAGGTTGTGTGGGTTGGATTCTTGTGGTCCCATCCTGTGCTCATATCTGGGGACTGTGACCTTGTTCAGCATGGCCCTGTGTATGCCAAGCAGGATGGGGTCAGTAGGGGGACAGTGGGGGTAGGCACAGAGAAGCCTGAGACCCACACCTTTCCTCTAGGGCCTTGGTGTCTCCCTGGGGAGATGGGATGCATTCATGAGAATATGGCGCATCCCGTGAGCTGGTGAAGCGGGCAGACATACGGTGGAAGGAGAGGGAGCCACTGCATTTCCACCTGGCGGGGGGAGGTGACTGATGCAGGGACCCCCATCACAGAGGGCCCTGCTTGATTTGGGCCTTGGAGGGTGGGTGACAGGGAAGAGAGGGAGGAAGGACTATCCCCACGGAAGAAGCTGGGACACGTGTGGCGGGAGCTGTGAACAGGGTGTGACTCAGCTTTGTCGTGTGGAGTTGGGCACACAGCACCCAGCGGCTTCATTTCAGGACCCCTGTAAGTGCAGTGGAGACCACCCTGCCGCTGTCTGGGCATTTTTCTCTTTTTGGTTTTGGTGTTAAGGCCTCCGGGCTTGTATCGTTCTGAGGAAAACAGCATGTCTCAGCTCACCCAGCACAGAATTAGGTCTCTAGACCCTCAAAATACTGATCTGAATCTGAGCTCATGGAAACTCTGGGTTGCAAAAAATCTTGTAGAGGGATCCATTAGTTTTCCATGAGTATGAGACATTTCCTTTTAAGAAGCTTGGCCTTGGGGCACAGACCAGGTCTAGCATAAATAAATAATTAACAGCGTATGTGTGTGTGACACATAGTTGCACTTAACGTACAAATGTGTAAAACTCGGCATTCTTATAAATAAAACATACCACAATAACAGATTTTTGCAGGTATCATGGTGCAAGCACACTTTGGCAATCAATTTAAACATTTTCTTGTGAAGTAGCCTTCCGTGCTATGGTTTGGTTTGTTTCTAAAGCGCTGTAGGATGTGGAAACTAAGCCAGGACGGATTTGCTGGGGGTGTCCTCTGGTTCTTCCTGGCTTCCTGGGGCTTGGGGAGAGGTGGATGCCTGCTGGGGCCGTTTGCAAAGCAAGAACAGCTTCACTTGGGAATAAGCAGGCCTCCACTGACCTTTGTTGGACGTTCTCTCCTCTCCCTCCTTCCCATCTGTCTCCATCTTCTCTCTCCCACCTTTCTGCAGAGCCACCAACCAAATACCAAATCTCTCAACCAGAAGTGTACGTGGCTGCGCCAGGGGAGTCGCTAGAGGTGCGCTGCCTGTTGAAAGATGCCGCCGTGATCAGTTGGACTAAGGATGGGGTGCACTTGGGGCCCAACAATAGGACAGTGCTTATTGGGGAGTACTTGCAGATAAAGGGCGCTACGCCTAGAGACTCCGGCCTCTATGCTTGTACTGCCACTAGGACTGTAGACAGTGAAACTTGGTACTTCATGGTGAATGTCACAGGTGAGTTGGCCTGCGAGCACTGCGCTCTCTCTTCTCTGTCACCATTATCTGATTTACTTTTTTTTTTTTTTTTTGCCAAGCGCAAAGGTAATGAGATCTCTAATTGGATGCTAGGCACATAGCTTCACAGTTTTTCAAATTCTTCTTTGGGACCTGGTACACCAGAAGGGCCTATCATTAAGAATGACAGAATTCTTGTGCACAAAGTAACACTTTTCTTAAGAGAGCACACTTTTATTTAAGTAAATACATGCTCCCCCCACTCCAACTCCGTACCACTGACATCTTTGGCATTTAGAAGATAGGACTGAAATTTGGATACTCAAGATTTCTGATTTGTTTATTAAAGTTTGAGTTTCTCTCCTTGATTTCCTTCTATGCAGTGAGTGGGACAGAACGTCCCCTCTTTGTGGCCGAGTTTAAAGTTCTGCTTTCAGAAGATTAGTTGATGATGAGCAGGGCCACATGGGGACTACGTTTTGTTAGAAATGAATTTCTTTCTTGAAGGGGACTCCAAATGCTGAAAGTTTCATGTTGGAAAAAGAGTCTTTGGGCACTACACAATTGGTAAATTTGTCAGGGGCTTGAATACTGTTTGAAGCTTGAAATCCAGTTCTAGTACATCCAATTTCATAGCCTGTTTAAATAGTGTGAAAGCAGAAAACATTGAGAATCATAACGTAGACCAACTGTCATCATGGAGGGAAATTTTAAGCCATTAAAATGATGTTAACTAAACACAATCCCAGGCTCTTTGTGAGGATTCCTGGGTCATTAACTTTGCTATGGAGAAGGTCTCAGTTGTCGATAATTGCAACCTTTTTGCTTTGCAAAAACACATCCATGCAATATGTTCTTTTGCATACAGATGCCATCTCATCTGGAGATGATGAGGATGACACCGATGGCGCAGAAGATTTTGTCAGTGAGAGCAGTAACAACAAGAGTAAGTAACCGCCTGGCTCCGATGGTCCCTGAGAGAGAGGAGCGTGGAGGGAAGTCCTGACTGTCGCCTGTCTTCTTGTCGACTCTCCCGTGCCATGCTGTATCCCGCGGCCCATGCCTTTCCCCGCTGTGTCTACTTTCCTGACTTTCAAACCTGAGAATAAACCAGTGTTGCTGCACAGCCTTCTCTCTCGTTTGTCCTTTCTTCTCGTGTCACTGGTCATTGGCTTTTCAAAGCAGTCACTACTTTTCTTTCCTTGATGTTTCCTTTTCCCTTTGGCTTCTCCCTGTTCAGAGACACAAAAATAGTAGAACCATGTAACGTCTTGGTTTTCTTTGTAATCACTGATTGTGCTTGGTTTAATCCAGGGGTGTGTGACTGGGGCCATTGCCTGTTCCTGCTCTCCTGGCACGTTGGGCAACATTTGGTTGTCACAAGAGGGGGTGGGGAGCTGGTGGCTTCTAGTTGGGCAGGGGCCAGGGATGCAGAGCACAGCCTCATAACAAAGAATCATCCAGTCCAAGATGTCAGTCGCCCCTAGGGCGAGAAACCCCAGCCTTCTACAACACACACCTCATGCTGAGTGGAAATAAAGGAAGTGTGCCTGGCTTTGCAGACCATGACTGAAAAGGGAGCAAGGGTGATTTGCTTAATGAAGGCCATGAACCCGGGAGAGACCGTTTACTTGGTGAAGAAGAGCGGGACATAGCGTCTTGGAGCTGAGCAGCCTGGGTTTGAATCTTGCTTCACAACTTCTGACTTGTTCATTTCACTTTTGTGCCTCAGTTTCTTTAACAAGAAAGTGGAAGTATTATTACTTGATTTAAGTGGGAGAAATAATAATACTGTCTTCTGGGGTTATTAGGATTAAGTGAGTTCATATTTGTACAGTGCTCAGAAGAGTGAGTGCTTGCAAATGTTTATTCAATAAAGGAAATACAATATAAGGTTACTTGCATTTTCCAATGACATGGCTGGAATGTTCCTAAAGTGTTTGTACATAGGGCATTGGGGCTCTCTGTTTACATGGTATATTCTACATTTTATTAAAAGGACTTTTTTAAAAAGGACTTCTGTCAATTTAGTACATTTAAAGAAGGCCTAGGTAGCAGAAGACAATTAGTTGTTAAAACAGTCCAGAGCTTAAATTTTTTAATAACAGTATTTTATTTATTTATTTTGAGATGGAGTCTCACTTTGTTGCCTAGGCTGGCGTGCAGTGACGTGATCTCAGCCCACTTCAACCTCTGCTACTCCAGTTCAAGTCATTCTTGTGCCTCAGCCTCCCTAGTAGCTGGGACTACAGGCATGCGCCACCACACCCAGCTAACTTATGCCCCTCCACCCTGCCCCGAGATGGGGTCTTGCTCCGTCACCCAGGCTAGAATGCAGTGGCGCAATCTCGGCTCACTGTAACCTCTCTGCCTCCTGAGTTCTGAGTTCAAGCAGTTCTCCTGCCTCAACTTCCCAAGTGCTGGGACTACAATTGCCTGCCACCACACCCAGCTAATTTTTGTATTTTTAGTACAGACGGGGTTTCACCACATTGGTCAGGCTGGTCTTGAACTCCTGACCTCAAGTGATTGACCCACCTTAGCCTCCTGAAGTGCTAGGATTACAGGCATTGGCCACTGCACCTGGCAATACTTTTGTTTGTTAGAACAGTTTTAGGTTCATAGCAAAATAAGGAGGAAGGTACAAAGATTTCCCATATAATCTTCCCCAACACATGCTTAGTCTGTCCTGGCATCCCCATCACCGGCAGAATGGGACCTCTGTTCCAGTTGATGAGCCTGTACTGCCATCATCAACCAAAGTCTATAGTTGATGTTAGGGTGTATAATCATACAGTTGTAGCCTTTACAGATTGGCTTATTTGACTTAGTAAGATGCATTTAAGTTTCCCTCATGTCTTTTATCATGGCCTGATGGGTCAAGTGTTCATAGCACTGAGTATTCCATTGTATGTATCAAAGTTTATTTACCCATTCACCTACTGAAGGATATCTCGGCCAGGCGCAGTTGCTCCCACCTATAATACCAGCACTTTTTGAGGCAGTGGATCACTTGAGGTCAGGAATTCAAGACCAGTCTGGCCAACCTGGCGAAACCCTCGTCTCTACAAAAAATACATAAGTTAGCCAGGTGTGGTGGTGCATGCCTGTAATCCCAGCTACTCGGGAGGGTGAGGCATGAGAATCACTTGAACCCAGGAGGCGGAGGTTGCAGTGAGCCAAGATCATGCCACTGCACTTCAACCTGGGTGACAGAGTGAGACTCTGTCTCAAAAAAAAAAAAAAAAAGAATATCTCTGTTGCTTCCAAGTTTTGACAGTTGTGAATAAAGTTGCTACAGACATCTGTGTGCAGGTTTTTGCGTGGACATAGTTTTCAGTTACTGGGAGTAAATGTGAGGGAGTGCGATTGCTGGATTACGTGTCATAATCTTATGGTAAGAGTATACTTAGGTTTCTAGGAAACCACCACGCTGCCTTCCAAAGTGGCTGCACCATTTTGCATTCCCCCCAACAATGAATGAGAGCTCCTGTTACTCCATATCATTTGCTGTGCTCAGTGTTCTGGATTTTGGCCATTCTGATAGGTGTGTAGTGGTATTTTGTTGTTTTAATTTAAATTTCTCTGATGACATATGATGTGAAGCATCTTTTCATATGATTAATTATCACCTATGTATCTTCTTTGGTGAGATGTTTATTAAGGCTGTTGGCCCATGTTTTAATTAGGTTGTTTGTTTTCTTACTGTGGAGTTATGAGAGTTCTTTGTGTATTTTGGATAACAGTCCTTTATTACATCTCTTTTGCAAACATTTTCTCCCCACCACCTGTGGCATGCCTTTTCATTCTCTTGACAGGGTCTCTTGCAGAGCAGAAAATTTTAAGTTTTATGTAGTCTGGTTGTTTCTTTTATAGATGGTGCCTTTGGTGTTATATCTGAAACATCGTCAACAAACCCAAGGTCATCTAAATTTTTCTCCTCGGAGTATTATAGTTTGTGTTTTGTATTTATGTGTGTAGTCTATTTTAAGATGTGTGTAATCTACTTTTGTGAAGGGTGTAAGGTGTGTGTGTGTGAATTTACTTTTTAGCCTGTGGGTGTCCAGTGCAATAGTTTTGGCACTATTTGTTGAAAAGATTTGTCTTTTAGCTTTTAAAGGAAAAAGAGAAAATAGATATTGTTAGGTATCTGGAATAAATGAGTTCCTGAAGTGAAGATTTAGATTTGTCCCAGAGTCTCCAAGCAGCTTGGGCAAAAGGGAAATATTTTGGTTGATGCAGTTTTTACTTTTTGTCATGAGGAAGCTTAGGGCAGTGGTTCTCAAAGTGAAGTCCCTGGACCAGCGGCATCAGCATCCCCTGAGAACTCCCTAGAAATGCAGATTTCTTAGGCTCCTCCTCAGGCCCACTGCCTTAGAAACTCTGGGGGTGATTCTGATTCACACTGAAATCTGAGAACCACTGGCTTTGGAATTTGCACGCGGAGGTTTGCCCTGAATTCTGCCCTGAATGGGAGCTTACCATTAGCAGTCTTGTTCGTAAAACAGAGGATAATAAGGTGAGTGGAAGAATCTTCTGTGATTTGTACCAGCCTTCTAAAGAGGTTTTCATTATTGTTCTTTAATAAAAAGCACTGATAACAGTGGAGCACGTTGGTCGTTTCTTTCGGCCATTGGCTCTGGCATGCGCTGGAGGCAGAGATGCTGAGGGTCCACTCTCGATAGCCTCTATGCTGGCTGCTGGTTCCATCCAGGCCACCACGAACCCGATCAGGTGGAGAGAGTATCTCTTCTGACTTTATTGCTTGGAAAATTGTGGCTCAGGGAGCAAAAGCAGAGCTGCGTTTCAGTCATTGGCCTGCTGCATGAGGGCATCGTAGGGTCACGATGGGGGTGCAGTGAGAATGCTTGTACAGATGTTTACAGCTCTCAAGCGATACTGCATGTGGGTGCCCTCACTGTGGCTTGAGACATCAGATTGTGTCAGCTTGGTTTGGTTTGCATGCCTGGGAACTGTGTTGTCCTGGTGGTCAGCTACCTGCCTAATAGCAGGTTACCGGGAAACCACGTGAAGCAATAAAATGCAACAGCAAGGTATGGATTACGTAACAGGCAGGCTGAGTGGTTCTGAAGGATTCTGTGCTGTGGGCCTGACGCTTTGCATTGTGAATCCTGTTTCTGAGGCCCCAGGGCCCATGGAGAATGGCAAGGGGGTAGAGCGCCCATGTGATGAATGCCAGCCAACAGTGTACTTGCCGTCCCTTCACCTTGCAAGCAGGGTTCTTTTGTAATTAGCTCTCGAATGACACCAACCCTGCCCCCAAAATGGGTGCTCTGCAGTGATTAAGGGCTGGTGTTAGCTGTACCAGGGAGATACCGCTGTGGGAGGGGCCTGTTTGGTGCCTGTGAAACATTAGATGCTATTTAAAGTGATAGCAGTTTTTAGCTGGCTACTTGGCCTCTGCCATCTGTTAGTGTGATTAGGCTGGTCTGATTCACAGGTGCAGCCTGGGGCGGCTGAGATTAAGCAGCTGTGGCCTGTGTGGACAGAGGAATGCCATGGCCGGGGTAATTGGCAAGGCGGGAAAGGGGACGTTGCCATTAAAACAATTTTTTGCCACCTCAAGTGTCAAATGCTGACCCGATTAATAGGGAAAATTGCAGAAGCACCAAATTCCTTGCATTTTCAGCCACCTGGAAAATACCCATATGTCCAGATCGGTTTCTTTGCTGCCTTCTGATTGTCTGGAAATGCCACTGGGGTGTGTTTGAATGTTTTTCTGTAGGAACATTGACAAATGATGCTCCAGTGACCCTGTGTTGATGGTGACATTTTTGGGCTTTTCAAAGGTTTTTTTTTTTTTTTTTTGGATTGAGACATTGAAAATTTAGTTCTGTATCTTCTAGTTGGAAAAACATATTACAGGTTATTCCCTCTGCTGATATGCTAGATTACTGATCTGGTGGTTAATATAAGAAGTCAAGC